CCCCAAAACCCCAAAACCCCAAAACCCCAAAACCCCGAAAGAATACAATTATTCAAATATATCAAATGAATTGAATATATATAAATTAAGAAAAATATATTAATTGCTTCAGACAATTGAAAATGAATGAAGATCTGAAATCTGTGACTCCGAGTGGCCTGTCAAGTGTCGTAATGACTAGAGGCCACACTATGAAATCTCAAAATACCCTATACAAGGGAGGAATTAGGACTGCACCGGAAATGAGTCCTTTCGAAGGTATTGACTAAAAACTACAAAAGCAATCTTATCATACCAAAATGGATGAAAGTAGGTTTCTAAGAAAATCATCTGACACCTATTTCTTTGAGATCTTTAATAAGTTGAAGAAGAAATGCGCAATACTTGTTCCAGATACAATTTTCGTTGGAGGTGGCACATTTTTATCATGGTATTTCACATCAAAGAAGAATGGTGCCATTCTTAAGAAAAACTCTCATAAGCTAAATGCAGCTGAAGTTTTTAAAAACCTGTATAGATAATCTTCTCTATCATAGGAAGAGGATTTTAATGATAAAAAGATAACTGAATATCTTAAAAATGATGATTCAAGTGATGAAGAAAATGGCTCAATGAACCAGTAAAATTTGTTTGGAGGTGGAATGATTGCAGGGGATGGAACAAGAAGAAATAGTAGAAGGAATAGCGTTGCTAAAAATCAGAATATATTTGCTTAAGCATTGATGACAACTACAGAAAGTATTCAAGAGAAGTAATGGTCCTTGAAGCGCATCCTTAAGGAGATGAATGTGAAAACTCTTAATCCTAAATCCATGACTAAGCATGATGACGAACTTCCATGCATAGCTTATGTTAAATTTCACAGCTAAAAGAGCCGAGGATTCAAACCATTTGAATTTTATCAACTGATTCATGAGAGATTAGGAGAAGTTAAAATGATTCAAACCTTTATTACTACAAGAGTTCAAATTAATTTAGATCCTAATGCCCCCTAAAAATATAAGAAGCTACCTTAAGGTGGGTGCTATTATTGCGAATATACCCATACATCTAATAATAATCCTCCTTAATACGTAGTTACTAAGCAGTAAGTTTCCTAGGATCTACTTTAACACATAAATAAAGATGTAGTTAGGTCTATAAATACTTATATGAACTAGAAGTTTGAGGATAAAGCTAAAGTCATAATATCTTTTATGGAAAATACAACTAGAACTGATATCAAAAGAGCATGTGTCAAATTTCTAGAGGATACTACTGGTGAGATTTACTATCTGGGTGTGTGCAGAGATATCTTGTACGCAGTAAAAGGTTAAGATTCAGGCTAAGATCAGCCATTGATGAGACTTCCTAATGACTCATTCGTATTTGGGGGGAATAAAATCCTAAGTGAAAAGACGAATTGGAAAGAGGCAGCTATTCCTAAAATTTGCTATGGTGAATTTTGTGAGTACTAGTTCAACGATACTCATAAATTCCTTTCATATAGAGGAAAAAAGAAAGAGTTCGAAAGAAATTTTAGTCTTATTCCTGATAAAAACAAGATATTCAATGTAAGCTAATAATATACTAGTGATTCAAGATTTAAATTTTTGCTATAGAATAAAATGGATTATACTATAAGCGGACTGTTGATAAAAAAGATTATGGATAATATCGATGTTGCTGATTAGATATTAGAAAAGCATAGTATTTAAGCTAAACCTCTCTCTTCTTAGGTAGTATACATTTATTTAATTCAATTAAAAAATCTAGGTAAATGCTAATGAAATAGCAATAAATATTGAGGACGAGTAAGAGATGTTTAAGAATGCACTTTAAACAAGGAAAGAGAAGAACAATTTAGATGATCTTGGAATGGGACTTGGAAATTATTAATCATAAATTACTAAATCATCTCCTTACATTAAAAAAAAGCTTTACCCAGACTCATTCAATCAACTTTACAAAGCAGTCACAGTCTGCAAGTCATGCTTCTTAATATACTCACTCCTATCAGATTACTTTGATGAGCTCACTAAAGTTGCAGTCAGCCCAAGAAAGAAGAATGCCAATGGAGAGATAGTTCATGATAATCCTTCATCTACAGTTCCTGCTACAATGACTAACTGGACTCACTCTGAGAAACTTCTTTAGAAAAAAGAAGAAAAGCCATTTATATTCTCTCATAAAAGACTCAACTCAATCACTAATATTAATAATGCCAGCACACCAAAAAATTAAGGGTAGTAATATGAATCCAAGAAGTCATATATATTTAAGAATCTAGCTTCTGTTGATATAGCAAACTTGAAAGGTAACATTATTTTCAGAAATCAAACAGCATTGATATCAATAGAAGGTCATCGATAAAGTATATACAATACAAACTCTAATTAGAGAGGACAAACTCCTCACAATTAAACCACAACTGCATCTGCTAGTACATTAAACAAATTCAACAATCGAAGCTAGCCATTGTTCCCTCCAGCTAAAGGAAATTTTAACAAGACAACTACAATGCATAGCTCTACTAAGAATTTGCAGCTGAACTTTGGCAGTACTTAAAGTGCTTTTGGTGATAAATTGCCTCATTTTATAAGGCCCACAGAGTCAGTTAAAATCAAAGAGATACAAAAGCTATCATATAAATTTGTAAATACTATAGAAATGAAGGAGAGTTAAGCAAAGCGAAATATTAAAAACGTTCTTGGGTAAAAAGTTGGAGATAGATTATTCAAGCAGATTATGTAGAAGCAGTCTAAATTACTTAATAACCATAGAGAGTAAGAAAAAGATAGGGATCCAAATAAGCCACCTAGAACTCCTGGCAGCAGCAGAAATAAAAAGAATAAAATGGATGTTAAGAACTCCATGAGTTTAGCTCTCAATAGTTTGTTTAAAATGAGTGAGGAGAAGTTTTATCTTAAAAGAGCAAAAGAAAATCATGAGAAGCGCAAAATAATAAACTTTTTCAATGAAGTATGCAAAGATCCAAAGAAATATGAATTAGTGCTGACAAAACATAAATAAGTGGATAATAAGATCAAGTAAATGCATGCTAAGTCACTCGTAGATGTAGGCAGGTAAAATTCTGTCTTAGATATGTGGCACACTGGGATAGTAAACAATTAGGATAGCACTCCTCCTTAAAACTCACCAACTAAGAGCTAAAAATAAAGTCCCTCCAAAGATGGAGCACCTACAGATTCCAGAAATCTGTAAATTAATCCTATTACAAAACTAGCAACTGAAATTACTCAAGTTAGACATTCTGAGCAAAAAGAGTCAAGAAGAAGGACTGTTCTTACATCGATAGATAATGATGAGCAAGTAGATGGAGTGACAAAAGCTAATGCAGCCTTCTAAATGTAAGGTGGCATTTTGTCTCTTGCATAGAAAATAATATCATAGCAAATGGTATTTTTGTAAGAACAAATAAAAGAGAAAGAAGAATCTGGAATAATTAAGAGTAAAGTATCCAGCTAGTCTAGTTCTCTATTAGGAATCTCGAAGGGAAATGAATAAGAAGGAGGGGGTAGGAAAATTAGACTTTCTATTAGAGGGAATAGTCCTGCTTAAAAAAGAAGAAATCCTAATATCACTTCTTCAGTTTTTCATCACTAGAACCTGGCCCACATTAAGCCAGTTCCGTTTTATAGGATTTCAACCCCAAAAGCGCCATTTTACTCTAATGAACTAATCGGAGATAAGGCACCAGATGATAAGTATATAATACCAACTGAGAACTACAAAACAATGAACATTGAGTAATATGCAGAATTAATGAGAATAGATAAGTAATAATTATAGGATTGTGGAGTCTTTTTCATAAATGAGCATACTTCCATGCTATACTGCATTCTAGAAAATTCTTAGGAACATCACAATATTAATAATAGCATTATATAAAGCGGCTCGGTTAATCTATCCTCAATCATAACTAAATAAAATACAGATGAGAGTCCTACTCCAAGAGATAGATCTAATTTTAATGGACTCAGGCCAGGACATTAAGCTAATCAAAGAAGAAAAGTATTTCATAATTACATAGTGATACTTGATCTTTTCGATTCCTTTATCGATAAACTAGAATTTTTCGAATAGATAACTAAAAATTCAAGTCAGCCTGCTAGATTCATATTACTCAATCTTCCTGGCTAGCTCCATACCCAGTATAATAGCAAGCAATCAAATCCTTAACTCTTAAACAACTCTTATTATTCAAACTGTCTTGATCTGCTTCTATTTCATTTACATGAGAAAAATCTAATATCTTGTCTCTTCGAACCATATTCCCTAGTTGGATTCGGTAATGGGGCTAATATTGCATTACATTATGCTCTTTAGATCAATGACACGAATGATAACCTCAGATCGATCCTATTATTTAATGGTTTTAGTTTTGTGGATTAAATGCTAAGAGATACTATAAATTAAGCACTAGACAGCTTTAAGAAGTGTCCACCAGACATGAGAGATTTGGGAGACTTCTTCTTTTAAAATCTAATTCTATCGTCTGATAATTTGAATCAGAATCTCAACACAAGATCTTAATTCTCAACAAAGAGAGATGATGGACAGTTATTAGAAGAAGACAATTCATAGAGATCTATATATAATGATAGAACTTCAAGAAGTACTCTAAGCTAGATCGAAACTTTGGATAAAACTAATTTGTGCCGGGGTCTATTGGGAAATATATCAATAAAAGAGAAACTAAAATATCTAAAAATGCCGATTATATACGTCTACTCAAAGAAAAACTGCCTAATTGGATTAAAGCACTCTGACATTATCTAAAAGGTATATTAAAATTAATTTATCATAAATACTTTAGTCAGCAGATTCAAAAGACAATTAGATTTCAACTAATTTCTATCAAAGTTTAGACTGCCTCAGCAATACATCTTAGAATCCAATTGAAAAGATATTACAAGATAATATATCAAGAAAGGTTTTTATTATAGATGGGGCTCATGATGTGTTTTAAGAGAACGCATCTATATTAAGGAAAATTATAACTGACTACACTGAAGTTAAAGCACCGATGAAATATTTCTTAATGACCAGCCTCAAAGGTGCTTTCAAGACGAACCTAATTTGAATGAGAAATATGGAAATTATTTAATAACAATTATCCTTAATTTCATAATTCCTTCTTTAGATTCTAAATTGAACTTATGGGGTTTTGGGGTTTTGGGG